CCTCCGAGACCGGGGAGTCTGGGTCCTCCGGAGGACCCGTCCTGTCGTTTTGGACACAGCTACAGTTTTGTAAAATATTGAATTGAAGAAATTTATTGGGATTGTTTACGACTGACTTTTAAKGACACAACACATCGTATAGTCTTTTATTTTTATAATGTGGTTATCTCTGATTTAATTGATGATTTTTTGTGCAGACTGCGGTGTGGGGCTCTTGATCAGCGTCTCACAGACTCAGGAGGCTTTTAGTTAGATACATGTCTGATTTAAAACAACACACATAAGAACCGTGATTAAACATTAGTATGAGGAATAATGTCTGACTTCTTGACTCCGTATAGAAATAGCCTGCCCCTTTAACACAAGTCATGAGGCAGAGTCAAGATGTGAAGAGGCTGGTTACTCGATGTGTGTTTCCTGGTCCTGGGCACTGTTAGCTTATGCCTGTTGGAGGCAAATTAAACTAAAGCTAACCAGTCCACAGCTGTATCCGGATGGTTTTGTATGGCTCACTCAAATATTCACGTCATTATTATTAACTGGTGTTAGACCTGAACAGGTAAAGGAACACTGCTTATTTTTTAACAGAATCAATAAATGGTAATCAAGGAAAACTCAGACTTATAATTTCCGTTCATATCTGCTTTTGTTCTGGTTTTATTCATTATTGATACTTGCCCTAGAATTTTATTTGTTTTACCATGATATATAACTCATTTTGGAAGTCATGTTTTTGTACACAGTAGCAATAACTCATTGTAAAGTAGACAAATCCTGCTTTTAAATCCTTCTTTTTCACATTTAAGTTGGGGTATAGTTGGGGTCTATATTAAGTGGAACTGCAATGCTTTTGTCTGAACTCCTCCTTATTGTAATTTAACTAGCCCCTCTTTCATCCCTTTTCTGAGGTGAGTCTCAGATCAACTCGTTTTGAGGCTGTCTCTTTAAATGCAAACGAGCCGCTTCACATCCCACCCCTCTCCAGCTTCCAGAGTGGTTCATTCAGGGTTGATAGCAGCGGTTTCATGACAAAATAGCAGCACAGAAACATTTTATTTATTAATAATTAAAAGATGTGAACAAAGAGAGACTTGTCCATCCAGCCCTACATGTTGGAGCCAGAGTCTGCCCAAGAACCAGAGGAGAATGAAGACCACCAAATTGTAGTTGGTAAATCCAGACCATGTTAGGCAGTTTAGTAGGGCTGCCACTATTAATCGATTAATCGATGACTAATCGATTATTAAAATAATCGATGACTAATTTAATAATCGATTAATCGTTTTCTTTTTTTTGTTCTTT